AGTTTGAGGCTGTGGATTTAGTAAGATTTTGTGTGCACCATTGACCTTCAGAGGGTACTCAATGGAAATGAGTTGAATCCCCATCAGAAATGTGGCCTTATGTAAGGATGTGGTCTCTTGCAGTCTCTTCCTTCCCCATTCACGGACATTTGCCTCCTGGTATGAAGTGTCATTTAGGTGGAAGAATCTGAGAGGGCTGGGAATGGGAATTCTTGGATGTAACTCATAGAATTAACTTAAGCAGCAATGGAGACTTTATTGGTTCAAGTAATGAAACCAAGGGAAAGGCGGATGTAGAATTCTAGACAACCAGATTAAAATCCGGTTGTCTTTCTTCTCTCCCACTGCATGTGGGCTTTTACGTCATGGTTGAGAACAAGGTTTAAGTATCTCCATTTGACCTTGTAATAGTTCAGCTAACAGCAAGAAAAGTCTTCCCTCACTTCCACCGCCAGTCAGAAGAATCAAGACTCTGATTGGGTCATGAGTCATGCCCAAGGGGACAGGTTAATATGCCAAATCTGGAGTCAGTTCCATGGTCTGAGGATATGTCAGTAACTACCAAAGTTGAACATACCTATGTTCTTTGACCCAGCATTTCTTATCTTAGTTTATACATTAACAAAAGACATGTAATAGAATTTTCATAGCAATGCTGCTTATAGTTTTCCTAAATAAAGACCACCCTAATGCCCATGAAGGGTTACATACATGAATAATCCATGGTGCAGTCACACAGTGGAAAATTATACATCAATGAAAATGAAGGGTCTATCTCCACGCAATATGGATGAATCTCATACACGTAATATTGAATGAAAGAAGACAGACACAAGAGTATGATTCAATTTATATAAAATACAAACAGAGACAAAGCTAATCTGTGCTGTTAGAGACCAAGATAGTGGTTACTCTTGGTGGGTAGTGCCTGGAAGGAGGCAGGAAGCAGGACTGGATGTGATGTTTCTCAGTATTCTTGTCCATTACATGGAGTGTTTAGTTTATGAAAATTAAACTGGCTCTAGACAAGTGACATATGCACTTTAACGACATGGATAAACAACATTGGTATATCTGTACAATGGAATATTACTCAGCCATAAAGAGGAAGGTACTGATACACGCTACAGTGGGGATGAATCTTGAAAACATGATGCTGAACGAAAGGAGCCAGGCACAAAAGATCACATACGGCATGATTCAATTTATATGAAATATTCCGAATAGAAAAATTCATTGGGACAGAAAGCAGGTTAATGGTTGCCAGGGGCTGGAGGGAGGAGAGGATGGGGAGTGATTGCTTAATGGGTACAGGGTTTTATTTTGGGGAGATAAAAATGATTTGGAACTAGACAGAGGTAATGGTTGCACAACATCGTGACTGTACTAAATGTCACTGAATTTCTCACTTTAAAATGGTTAACTGTATGTCATATGAATTTCACCTCAAAAACTTAAAAAATGTATATTTACTTTATTATTTATTTTTTTAAAGCTCTCAATTGGCTTTATTGTGATTCTAGGATCAGGCAACACTTCATCCCATAAAATAGAATAAGCGTTCCTTATTTCCTTTAATTAAAACATTTTTGAATTGTATGAGAGGAAGCTTGAAGCTCTCTGAGAATTTGATTAACTTTCCAAAGATTATATGGTTAGCAATTCATCAGGATCTTTTTTTCTAATGATAAGTATGGAAGGTTATAGATTTGTTACTTAGCCTGATTTAATGATTCCACATTGTAAACATATATCAAAACATCACATTGTACCCCCTAAATTTATATAATTATTATTTGTCCTCAGGATCTTGATTTGAATGCAAATTCTTCCTCCAAAATGCTTACCGGTTTTTCAGCACATCGTGGTCAGCATTGTATTGATCACCCTTGAGTTTTGGCTCTGACTTTTTCCAAGAAAAGGAGTCATCGGTGTAGAAAAGATATCAAATCTTTCTTGACCAGAGTGATCGGGATTGGAAAAGATAGAATTATATTTTGAGAGGCAGCTGATGATTGTATAACTTCTGTCTCTTCAAGAACACCAAGGCTTATCTAAGTACTGTGGAGGAGAAAGGTCAGAATTGGTGTCACAGTCTGTCACTGTCCCTGGTGGATAATCTTTTCTTCTCCCTGATGAGAGAACTGGTCTACTTCCAAGAACTAAATAGCGTGAGTATACGGAACAGGAGAAGGATAGAGGAACATTAATGATCTGTGACCTAAGAGGGGTGCTAAGTTTTTCCTCTCTCACTCTGAAATGGAACGCAGCAGTCCTCCTTATCGGTGTGGGAATACGTTCCAAGACCCTCAGTGCATGCCTGAAACCGTGGATCATACCGAGCCCTGTATATGAGCATACTGTTTTTTCCTATACATACATACCTATGATAAAGTTTAATTTATAAATTAGGTACAGTAAGAGATTAGCAACAATAACTAATAATAAATAGAACAATTGTAACAATATATAGTAATAAAAATTATGTTAATGTGGTTGATCTGATAGCCAATATGGCTACTAAGTGACTAATGAATGGGTGGTGTAGACAGCGTGGATGTGCTGGACAAGGGAATGATTCACTTTCCTTGCAGGACAGAGCAGGACAGCATGAGATTTCATCGTGCTACAGATCAGATAAGGGGGACTACTTTATTTGTGGTCCACTAAGTCTAAAATATTTACTATTGAGCTCTTGCAGGAAGTGTTTGTCGACCCCTGATTTAAACCACCACCGGATATTCTAGACCTCAAGCTTCCCCTTCCATTAATCCAGAGGCTTCTCCACTTTTAAATATCTATAAGATCCCCTTCTATTCTCCCCCCAACCATCTTACTCCTTAGGAGAACATCGTTTCCATTTTCCATCTTTGTTGTAATTTTTTGTCAATGAACACCAACTTCGATTCAAAATATAGCCTTCTTTGGTGCATCCATAAACGAATTTTTTTCCATAGAGGAAGGGAAAGACACACTGGGGGGGATCTGCAAAGAAAGAAGAAGAACTGTGGACACGGAAAGTCTTACGATTAATCATTGTGGAACTAACAGCACATCATGCTTTTTCTACCACACAGTGAACTGTTTTCAAAGTGATTAAAATTATGTAGAAAAGTCAGGATTTGAACTCAGGTCTATCTGACACTCAAAATCATATAGCCAGCTGCTATCAACTGCTTCTTGGGTCCCGGGCATCCAAGGTAGTTCATTACATGAGACTCACCCATCCCGGTGCAGTACCGCCACCTGCCTTGGAATTTACTGTCGAGAGAACACCAGTCAAAGTCACTGTGCATGGAGATGCAACTGTAGTGGACTGCGTTGCCATAGGTAAATGGAAAGATACAGGGAATGGAAGGAATATCTGGAAAAGAGAATACATGCCAAATGTAGGGCATGCTTATAAAGGGAATTGACTTTCAAATGCCCATCTCAGTTGCCCACACCACACTTACTCACCCATTCTTCCCTCTGTCCCCATAACCAAGTAGAGCTGGTCTCGGTCACTGCTTTTCCAGTGTGGGGCAGAAAATAGAAATGAATATCAAAGGAAGCCTGATTTCAATCCAGAGCTGGAAGCAGACTGGAGTTGCTGGCTTCCTTTTTATGCAAGTTCTCTAGCCACTGTACACCTGATTTTCCTAAGCCAAAACTCTGGAGTCTTTCTTATAGTCTCTTTTCTCCCTCTCCCCTAGAAAAATAAATCTCTTAGCCAGCCACAGGGAGTGCCTAAATATATCTCCAAGCTATCTCCTTCCCAGTACACACTTTGCCACCACCCAGCATCTTGCCTTGCCTTGACTACAGCAGTAACTTATTTTTCACAGCCTATTTGTCCCGCCTGTTTTTCACACTGCAGGGAGGATGATCATTCTTAAATGCTAGCCTGGCCCTGCCTCTAACCGCTTGCTATCCCATTGCTTGTAGGGTAGTACGCAGCATTGCAATGGCTCATAATACCCTGCTTGATCTGGTCCTCAAATACAACTGCAGGCTCACATTGGGCCACCGTTCCCTGTGCTCTCTGTGCTCAGGTGTCAGGTATTCCCAGTGTGCTACCATTTTTCCTGCCTCGGGGATTTACAGACATGATCTTCTCTGCTTGTCAGGAACTCCACACCCCCTTTGCTTGTTTACCCTCCTCTTACATTCAGCTTAAACATGAATCTCCACGGAACTTTCTTGAACATCCAAATGAGGCTAGGTTTGAACTTGGATTGAACTTTCTTACAAGTTCTCCTTTCTTACATTTAAAAAATTTCTAATGACTTGTTCAGAATCTTTCTTGTTTGTCAGAAATGACCACATGCATCCCATTCACAGCTAGACATGCATTACCAACTGCTAGAGATGGGCACATAATAGAAGCTTAATAAATATTTGTTGGTTCTCCATGAACCTGAAATAATTTTGACACTAGATTCATTTGTTTTTATTATTCAATTATTATTTAACAATGACATACATTATTTATATTTATTATTTAATAATATTTAACAATTACTTTGATATTTTTATTATTCGAGTATATTATTTGCTATAATATTTATCTATTTTAAATTATTTAATAATTTTATTTAACATTGTTTATTAATAGTACTTATTTATATAATAAGTGATAATATGGCTTACTCTGTGCACATGTTGTGGACATGTTGTGCACAATCTACAAACCTTAACACATTTAATGATATCCTTACACCAGCCGAATGAACTGGGTACTATCATTAGGTTGCTGATAGATTTAGAAGACTTAAGCACGGAGAAGCTGAGAAACTTGCTATAAATGGCAGAGCTGTGATTCAAAGCCAGGTTGTCAGGATTCAGAGTTGGTGCTCTTTGTTGCTAGACTTGGCCACAAAGCAGATGTACAATTGCTGTTGGCGTCGGGACCTGACCATTGCTGCTTGTCCTGACTTCTCACAGGGCTGAGGGGAGCCACAGTTCCTGCTGATTCTGCCCCATCCTAAGGCCATCTTGGGTCTCAGCACACGACCCCCATACACAGACAAACCCTACTGTCCACTGCTTTGGAAACATTTTCCTTCTGGCCTCAAAACAAAGAGGGCTGATGGGCTACATTTTTTCACCATACAGTGACTCCAGGCTATGTTGGCTCAATCCCAAACTAGTAATTGAAATATTTAAAAACCAATCCACATTTCTGTAATCAAATTTCTCTTTCGCTCTCCTAACTATCCCCACAAAGTATTCCCACATCTGTATTTCTCTTGAAACTCTCAGCTTCTTAAGAGTTATAGATTAAAATCCAGTACTTATTGTCTACCTGTGCATATAGTTAAATTCTTCCAAGAACTGAGACATTGAGACAAAGTTGTCTACGATGAGCACATATTGCTCTCGTAATGACCTTTTTAACTTAAAAACAGAAGCAAAAGATTGTATGGACGATTCCATTTATATGAAATACTCAGAAAACACCAATCTACAGAGACAGAAGGTAGATCGGTGGTTGCTTAGGGCTCAGGGTAGGAATGGGGACTGAATGCAAGTGGGTGTGATGGGTATTCTTGGGGTGATGGAAATATTCTAAAATTGGCTTGTGGTGATATTTGCACAACTATGCAAATTTACTGAAAATCATTGAGTAGTACACTTAAAATGGGTAAATTTTATAGTATGTAGATTATGCCTTAAGAAGGCTGTTAAAATTAACAGACAAGCAAACAACAAAAAAACACAAGTGCTTTTTTTAGAAGTTGAGCTCATAGAAATAGAGAGTCAGGATGATGGTTACCAGAGGCTGTGGAGCAGGGTTGGGGTGAGTGGAGGATGGAGAGTGAGGAGATGCCGATCAAAGGGTACAAAGTCTCAGTCAGGCAGAAAGAATAAGTTTTAGAGACCTGTTGGAGAGCATGGCGACGCTAGTTAATAATAATGCACTGTATATTTCAAAATTGCTTATAGAGTAGATTTTAAATGTTCTCACCACAAAAAAGAAAAGCATGTGATGAATGGATATGTTAATTCCACAGTGTAAACATATATCAAAACATCACATTCATTTCAAAATTGCTTATAGAGTAGATTTTAAATGTTCTCACCACAAAAAAGATAAGCATGTGATGAATGGATATGTTAATTCCACAGTGTAAACATATATCAAAACATCACATTCTACCCCATACACATATACAATTATTATTTGTCGATTAAAAATAAAATAAAAAATGAATGAACAAACAAAAAACCCCCCAAACAAATGCTGATGTTAGTTCCAACGAAGAGGAGAGCACTTTTCTGGAGGGGCAGGAGAGGAAATCTTGGATAACTAACTAAACCATGTCTTGAAGTTTACGATTTGGCTCAGGACCAGGGAGATCCTTTCATGCTGCAAGAATTGGCAAAGGAAAGGGTAAAATGGCAGGAAAGTGCAAGGAACCTTCAGGAGAAGAGCATCGCTCTAGGGGTGCGGCAACATTTGAGCTGCTAACAAGTAAAGGGGTGGTCTACCTACCTTGATCTGGAAGGTGAAAATGAGAAATCAACTCTGAAAGAGGAAAACACATAGGAAAAATTTAGACCACCTCCTAGAACACTCCATTCCCAGAGTAACGGTGGTTAAAAAAGTACCTCGATGTCCACGTAGTCAATTATTCTCCTGTTGTAGGAACATCTTCGATGACTTACGAACACTTCCAATTGGGGGATCATGTATCTACCCCAGAAAGCCCATTTACTCAGATATGAGCTCTGACCTGTCCAAAAGGTCTGTCTTTGAGTAAGTTAAAGTAATTCCACCCCATCCAAAGCTCAGCCAACTTCTACCCATTTGTTGAAATCCCATCATTCTGAAGGTCAGAGGGAATATTCTAGCTTTTACCCACGTCAACATTTCAGGAAAACAGTGCCAGAGGATGAATGTTTCCAGCAGCCTCAATGATTCTCTCCCCTGTAGAAAATTTTGCTCTTTTATTGTCTCTGAGCCATTTTAGGGAGTGTCTCTGTTACACCAACACCACACACGGAACAGCTGTCTAATAATATTAGCTAGTGTTTAATTGGCAATTGCCAAGTTCCAGTCATTGCCTTCATTAGATCTTCACAGCATCCTTAGGAGGGAGACATTATAATTTATAACACTTCCTCCCTCCCAACTTCAACCCTCCAAGTTTTACAGGTTTGAAAATAAGGCACAAAGAGGCAACTTGCCAGAAGTCATTTGACTGTCTGCCGGTGGGAATTAGGTTTAAACACACAAAGTCTGACTTCACAGACTGTGTTCTGAGCTACCCGGCTATGCTTTCTCAGGGCGTTATTGCAGGTGCCCAATGAAGCATAGACACAATGTTAATATTACCTTGAAATTGCCACTTGCCGGTGCAAGGGAATTAACCCCTCTGTGCTTGACTTTCTTTATCTTTGATATAAAGATGCTAATTCATAGGTTGCTGATATTATAGACTACGTTTATACATATTATAATAACGTATATTATTACTCTGTAATCATGATCTCCGTTTTGTAGATACAGTTATGGGAGCTTTGAGAGGGAAACCGCTTGTTCCAAGCCACAGAACTAAGAAGTAGTTCAGGTGCTCTGGCTCCAGAAACTGGGTCTCTACAACAATTCTGCCTCGTGGGGGCATTGCCACAAGCTGAGCCTCAAGTGCATTGGTAAGTGCCAGTCATTTTTTGGTTAAAACCGGGGGTGCTAATATTTTGTAGTAAATGCCAGGATAAGAGCTGCTGCTGGGTGAGTTTTCTGCTTTGTCTAGTCACGGAGCTCTTGGGAACTAATCTTTTTTATCTTTTATTTTTACTGTCTTTAATCTCTATAGTCTTCTCCTGATATGCTGACGTGTCTTTTGTCCACACAGCTAAAAACAGGTGCAGCTTGGACTATTGGACACAAACAACCTCACAGAATAATAACTTCAAACAACATTACTCTGAGATCGTGTTATGATGAGATAAATCAAGACTATTTCAGAGTTCTGCGTCAGCACTGGCAACAACAAATTACCCAACCCCTGTCCACTCTTGGCTAAAATGAGAGAACGCTGTTTTTTTCTGATTGAACTTTCTTCTTGTTACAGTCTGCCTTCCCTTCCCTATAGATAAAATGTATTGAGATATCCAGTCATGGAATTGCTTTCCTGTTTCTCACAGCATTGAATCTTGAGGAAATCTTCACTTCCTTAAACCCCTCTCACCTCCCAAATCACCCAACCAAAGCCCAAATCCTATGTTTAATTTGTACCTTGCTTCCTTAATAACAGACCTTGGAGAAATTTCCAAAACAATATACAATAAACCTCCTCTTTCTTAAATATCATTATTACTATTATATAGATGAGAAGGCTGAGGCTCAAAGGGAGACCAAGTTACCTGCCCCACAATCATCCAACCAAAAAGAGGAAGAACCAGGAGTTGAACCCAGGACTCTCCAAATGCTCTGTTGTGCCTCCACCATTGTGCTGTTTTCAGAGATATCATGGGCAATTGGTAGAATCTGCTTCCTGCCTGTCTCAGCCCCTTCCTGCTCTCTCCTCTTCCCGCCCCTCACCCACCTTGCCCCCTCACCTGCACGCAGCCCATATAAGCAGACAGCCAGCGGCACCCAGCCTGCCAGATTTCTCATCACCTCCAATGGCCTGCAGATGGCATGCACTGTCGCAAATGTCACCTCATTTTATATTCTCCCACTCACTCATGCCCCTCCTACCCAGGCTGTGCTCACAGACTTACTCCATAGCATTCTCTCCCCTGCCCTAAATCTCAGGGTGCTTAGAAAAATTAGAAACATCCATCTTAGAATGTTCTACAGCAGCATTCTCAAAGTGTGATCCCTGGACCAGCACCGTCACCCACACCTGGGAACTTGTCAGAAATGCCAATCCTTGGGCCCTACCCCAGACCTGCCCAACTCTGGGGGTGGGGCAGCCACCCACGTTGTAAGAAGCTCTTCAGGTAAGTCTGATGTTGGCTAAAGTTTGAGAAACACGCTCTATAGTGTGCTAAAACTTTCATATTCTTTCCATATCATTTGCTTCCTCGATTATTATATTTTTGAAAATGAAATTCCAGTCAGGCTTAGAGTGCAGCCTTATAACACCAAGATCATGGTTTGGAACCCCATACCAGTCAGCTGCCAAAAAAAGGGCAAAGCTAGTTTTAAAAAAAATTTTTTAAAGTTTATTTTTTACATTCTAAGATGTTGTTGCGGAGCAGTTGGAGAGGAGGGGGGATCATGGTTTGGAACCCCATACCAGTCAGCTGCCAAAAAAAGGGCAAAGCTAGTTTTAAAAAAGTTTTTTTATTTTTTTAAAGTTTATTTTTTACATTCTAAGATGTTGTTGCGGAGCAGTTGGAGAGGAGGGGGAGAAAAGAAGGAGGAAAGAAATAGGGTGGGGGAAGGAGGAAGGTGGGACGTGGTTGAGGCCTGTGGCACCCCCTCATTCCCGCAGGGGAGACCAGGGGGCTTCCAGCTGTGGCTTGGTCATTGCTGGGCTGGGTGCAGGTGTCTGGAGGTATGTGGCTGAGGCCCTCAGCCCCCCACCGCCCCAGCTTGGGAGCCCAGGGCCAAAGCCGGTTTTAGCCCCCTGGATAGGCAAGTCTCAGAGAGGTGAAGCATCCTGCCTGCAGTCAGCCAGCAAGTGGAAAGACAGATCTTAATCCCAGTTTTTATGTGTGTGCTTAGTCCACTTTAGAATTCTTTTCTTATGTTACCATTTCTAAAGGGATCTGGAGTCAGAAGAGGCAAGAGCACTTGAGAGAGAGAGAGAGAGAGAGAGAGAGAGAGAGAGAGAGAGAGAGAGAGAGAGAG